AAGAGATAAGGGCCATGAGTGAGCTACAAAATGCTGAGTTCTAAAGAGAGTTGTTTCCTGGCTCAAACTTTATGAAAGATTCTATGTTTGGAATCATAAAGTATGTAGCTTTTTCAGACTGCCTTATTTCTCTTAGCAATGCGCATTTACGTTTCTGCCTAATTTTTTTTGTAACTTGATAGCTCATTTCTTTATATTGTTGAATAATATTTTGTTGTATGAAAGTATCACAATTTGTTTATTTACCTACTAAAAGACATCTCAGTTGCTTCCATTTTTTTTGTGTGGCAATTATGAATAAAACTGCTATAAACACTAATGTGCAGGCTTTTGTGCGGCTGTAAGTTTCCAGCTCATTTGGGTAAATAAATACCCAAGAACACAATTCCTTGGTTACACAATAAGCCTATGTTTAGCTAGTAAGAAATTGTCATACTGTTTTCCACACTGGCTGTAACATTTTGCTTTTCCACTAGCAAAATGAAAGAGCTCCTGATGTTTCACATCCTTGCCAGCATTTGATATTATTTTCATTATTTAAGAGCTCTTTATATATTTAGGACATTTGCCTTGTGTCTGTGTCATGAGTTACAATTTTTTTTCCAATTTATCTTTTGTCTTTGAATTTGCTTCAGATAAGTTTTATGACACAGAATTTAAAAAAAATATATTTTATCTTTTTTTTCTACTATGATTTTGGGGTTTGGGTCACACTTAAAAACATTCCTTCTTCCTAGATAATTAAAAGAATTTCTATCATAATTTCTTCTAATACTTGCAGTTTCATATTTGCATATTTGATTAATCTGCAATTAATTTTTATTTAAAGTTAAGGTATTATTGCCACTATTTTTTTCTAAATGGCCATATAGTTTTTTTCCTTATGAATAGAAGAGTATAGAAACAATTCTTTCCTTTTTGTTCCCTATGACTAGAGCCCCAGTAGGTAATTTTGTATCTTCCAAGAGAAGCCAGAGGCCATTGAATATAGCTATTGTTGTTGTTTAATATTAGGAGAAGTTTTGGAAATGAAAAGATTTGAGAATAAATTCCAGATCTTTTTATTATTAGCTGTGAGATTTTGAACAAGTTATTCTTTTTTATACTTGGTTTCTTCATATCTAAGGAAAAAAAAAACATATATTTTCTAGAGTTTCTATGAGTATTAAAATGAGATACCAGATTGCCTGATACAATGCTGAATATGGTTTATTAAATGATGGCTATAACTATTAATATTATTATACTGACAATGAAACCTCATCCTTTAAGAATAGTCAAGGGAAAAATACAAATTAATGAAATATATTAATGACAACTTACCCAAATAACTTGGAATTATATATTCTACAAGACCCTTGCTTTCCAGAGCTGTTGATGGACCACTTCATACATGTTTTATCAATCAGGGCCCCAAAATATATAGGAGCTGGAATTCCTCCTACAACATGAGATGAGAAGACATCAATCTAAGAAACATGTTTCAAATGTAACTGGGTGATATTCTACACTGGTACACTTTGGAATAAATAAAAGTTAAAAATTTTGGAGAATTCTTCCATTGTTTTGACCTAACTCTACTCAAGAATTAAGATTATTAGGAATCTCAAAATCTCGAACCACATATAATAGCATAGACATCTATTATCTACCCTCGCCCTGCCACCACACATAGAGAAAAAGAAATTTTATATTCCTGTACACTCTGTTCTTCCTATAATGCCAACTTAAGTTAAAAAGAAAAATGTTGTTAATAAAACATGAAAGTTATGTTGGTTCATGTGCATTTTTTTTTTTTTTTTTAGACAAAGAGAGCTGGAAGAATGAGAGTAGACATAATTTCATGAGGAAATGAAAAAATCTTGCAGCTTAACTGCTACAAAGGCAAGAGATTTTTCAATACTATTTTTAAGAAAATTAAAAGGTGAGTGCCAACACTAGGACTTCCTCTATTAAAAAGCCCAGGTCCAAACTCAGAGAATGCTAGGCTCCTGGCCAGTTGTCCTTCTTTCTCTTTTCTTAGTGTCACTAGAGCCCATGATCATATATTTTTCTCTACATAGATTGTTTGCATTTTTAATGCCTTTTGAAGCAGCCTGGGTTGTCCAGGTTAGGGCCTGTGGTGCTGAATTTTGTTTCTATTAGTGTTTGATTACAATGATGCCTCAGTCTCTAGTGGTCTGTGCCTAATCCAATTTTTATTTGTGGTATATAATTTTGCAGACTGTAAGATTTTTCAGGAACATTTGCATTATCTTACGATAGATATACCTGTCTGCTTTTACTGCTATTTGAATAAACTATGAGATTGACTCCTAGTTCTAAGCATTGGTAATTTGATCAAAAATTTTTAAACATGACAGTAGAGCTCTATTCTTCAGATGGTAGAACTGAAGTATTCATAATTATACTTTGTTCTTTTTTTGTATTTTGATAAATAATTTTCAATTTTTATTTTGTTACATAAAATGGTAGTGATTCACATTTTACAATTTTACTGATTTCATTTATTTTTAATCATTCTCAATTTTCTGAGAATGAGAAATCTTAAATGACAAGGGGTTGGTATATGAGGCCAATATATCTGAGGAAAAAATGGGTGAGAAATTCACAGATTTCAAAAAATCACAGCTACCCTTTGAAAAATAAAAAATATATGCCAATAATTTCTTTTCCCCATACAAAACCACTGATTTGATCAAACTTATTGAATTACATTTTTAGGTAACAAATTTGGTCTTAAATCATTAATGGAATTTTAAAACTTCAAATAATCTGTTTTCCAGATACCTTTTTCAGTTTAATATACTCTATAGACAGTTTACACATTTATTGTATTGAAGACAATTGTTTATAAATTGCAAGTATGGTACTCAGCATATATTTTTCCCATAGCAGCAATTAGGTCCACTGTGCCACATATATTAGACATATCAAAATAGAGCTCACAACTGGGATGACAAAGTTCCTTTCTTTCTATTTTATGGTGGTAGAAGAACTTTCTCTTTTCTTAATCCTATTTCAGCATATCGTAATACAGAGCGTAAAACAAATATGATTCCTTGTTCTAGTTAAAGATGAACTTGAACTAGAATTAACAATTGAATTCTCTTTTAGATTACACAGTTTTCCTCTGTCTCTTATTATTTATCATTTACCATAAGAATAGAAATGGTTTTTACTTATACTATTCTTTTTTTATTTTCTTAAAATTTGAAATTAATTAAAATCAGTCTTTGAGCTTTGACACGAAAATTTATATCTTGAACTTATAATCTGTGTATTTATCATACCTAGTGATCGTATAATTAGGGAATGAAAACCCATTGCAAGCGATTTCAGTTCAGGTTGAACATTTCTGAAATAAAATAAAGGCGAGAAATCATTAAACACCTCTAAAATCCAAAGCTGAGTCCAATAGTAAAACGTTTCTCAATGTCATTGTTCTTCATGGTCTAATGAAAACCTTCAGCTGGATAGCTGACATTAAAATATATTTTTTCAGTTGTTTTAAAAGAAAAAACATTTAATGATAATAATAATAAGACCCTTATTCATTTAATGCATTACAATTTCAAGACAACTTAACAAACATTTTCATATTGGATCATGATTAAATTCAATGAGAGAGTGGTTGAAATAGACTTTATTATGTCTATGAAGAAACTGATTTTGTGTAGTCTAGTGACACAGGCCATGAGCAGATACTTTAATCTAAGTCTAGGTCTTAGCAGAGCTCTTTTTGTCATCTAAATTTCTGTCATTGCTGTTAACAGAAGTATTGACTAATATGATTCATGAACTACATAATATAACTGGGGGGTCAGAAAGGTATCTGTATTTTAGTATCTAATGTATTTTAATGTCATTTTAAAGGTAGCAAGCACATTTGTAACCTCTCTTAGAAATTAATTCACTCTTTCATTTAGAAAGTTATTTCCACAATTCCATTTTCTGTGTTCCATGAGCAGGTGACAGTACCATCTCTATGACAACCTAGTACATGAGTTATCCAGCAGCAATGGAGAGAGGGTGACTGAGGCTCAAAAATCCAATTTTTTACTGAAATACTGAATTAACTGATACGAAGACTTATTTTTTTCTTGAACTGTTTGGATGACTATATTTCTTCACAGAGATAAGTAGATTTAGTCATTCAACAAACATTTGCAAAGTGCCTCCTAGAAGATTCATGTTAGTTCTTATCCTTGAGAATAAAGAGATAAATTGATGATTCATACCAACCAAGTGACTTAGAGAAGTCACTTAACCTCTCCTAGGCTAGTTTCTTTATCTCTTGGTCCCAGGACTCTTACTCAACATGGTTTAGTACATCCTTTAATCACATCCAGTCTCTACTCCTTTTCAATTACTTAAATTCTTCCATTGTATCCCCTGAAACTCATAGTCTGTTACCAGCCAAATACTTATATCCTACAATTTTAGCAATTTCTTCACTTTCTTGTTCTAAACAAAATTGGCTGCCTATTGATGGCTCCCTTTCTGTGAAACTCTCAACTTTCTCTAACATCCTATGTATCACTGGCCCTGAAGTGTAGGTGTTCTTGCTTTTTTTAAAAAACCACTTCTAGACATGAGTGTCTCCTCTGAAAAACCTCTCACTTCCCTAAACTACTTCTTGTAGTATCTACAGAGTTGACCTACCACCTCCATCATTCATCCTTGATGATTTTAGAACTAGGTTCTCTGTTATTCTTTTCCCAAAATTATTTCTGCCACTTTTCCTAGTTATTTTAATATTCATGTGGACTATCATTCCAATGATCTGGCCTTCCAGTTTCTTGATTGCTTCATTCCATTGTTCTTACTTCCATTCCATGGTCATGACAATCAGTATGCACTTCCCTAATTCCCTATTTTGAGCATCCCCTTCTTCAAAACAACCTCTTAAATTTTAAATTCATTCACTCTAATAAACCAACTCCAACATGCTTCAGCCCCATGGGGCTCTTTAGGTTCTTGGCTCTTCCCACTTTTTCACAGGTCATCTCTAGTTTACTCAGTTCCTTTCTCACCATGATCTCTTGTTTCAATCACTGCTTGCATATATCCTGGACTTTTTTGTCCTTCTCATCCTTTATTGTACTAGACAAAGAAAGATTCTTTCATCTAACATCAGCTTCTTCTCTATAACCACAATGCTGCACTGGCTGGGGGAAATTATTTGACCATGCTGATTAGGCTCATTTTAAATTCATAAGTGCAAACCCTGGGCGGATTACCAGTGCAATCTTACTGTATTTTACTAGTCCATTTTCCCAATCAGTTTATCCCCCAATTTTCAAGATTACTTATTTACATTTCCTGATCTCTTCTCAAGCCTCTTTCTTTTTCCTTCTCACTCTCAGCTGATTACCTTGCTTTCTATTTAACAGAGTAGAAGTAATCAGAAAAAAATTTGTATGCCCTTGCATCACTGAAGCTACACATTTGCATGCTTTTTACCCACATAGATGATCTTCCCTTCTATTACAGAGTAAACTCTGTGCACTTATTTACATCCCTTTTCATCTTCCTCTGCTATTGTTCCTCCTCTTTCCTGCATTATCAACTTCCTTCATCTCTACTGGTTAATTCTCATCAGCATGAAAGCTTGTTATAATATCTGGCATTAAACATAAACAGAATTCTTGATTCTACACTTTGCTAGCTAAACACAACTTTTCTTTGCTTCTTTTTAAAATTCTACACCTAAAAAGAAAATTTCCTCCTGGCTATCTGCACTTCCCCTTCTTGCATTTTTTCTGGATCCATTGCGAAGTAGCTTTTCCCCCTCTCATCTTCATGTACTGTTTTTGTCAAAGCTAACTTGGCCAGCACATAAAAAATCCAATGGTTACTTCCTAGCCTTTAACATCCATGACCTCTGAGCAGCCCTTGATACAGTTGCTCACTCCCTCCTTCATGATACATTCCTAATTTGGCTTTTGAGACATTGCCATCTTGGTTTTTCTCTGACCTCGTGGGACCTCCTTCTCAGTTTCCTTCACTGGATTCTCCTCTTATTCTTGGTCTTGAAGTTAGAGTGTCTAGGTCCTGGTCCTAAGATGTTGTATGTATCTGTACTCGATCCCTAGAAGATCTCAACAATGTTACAGATTTAAATACTATCTGTATGATGCTGATTCTAAAATTTATGTCTCTGGCTCCATTATTTCTCCTAAATGTCAGGTTGTATATGTGACCTGTCGCTGGAGATCTAACAGACATCTCAGAATTACAGGGATATTACAAATTCTTGCTTCTCCATTTTCTCCAATCTGCTCTTCCCTAGCCCTCCCCTTTCCTTCAATAGTATCACCATCCTCTCAGAGCTAGGCCACAATCTTGGGATCATCCTTAATTTTCATTTGTACATGCCACATTCAATCCATCAGCAAATCCTACTGACTTTGCCTTAAAACCAAAACAAAGACTGAAGATTCAATAACTTCCTACTTCCTTTACCATCACCATCTTCGATCATGCTTCTATCCCATGAAGAACTATCACAGCCTTCTGCTTTTCCTATGTCTATTCTTGCCTCCCCAAAACATTTTCTTTACACAGTAGCCATAGTGGTCTTCTAATTGAATGAGCCAGTCATATAATTCTCATGTTTAAATCTCTCTGCCAACTTCTCAATACAATTAGAATAAACTCCAAGTCTTTCTTGTGACCCAAAGGGTCTATTATCTGGACCGTAATAGCTCTCTTTTCCTTACACACTGTTAATCTTGTATGTGTCAAGTATGGTCCACTTCAGGGCCTTTACTTTTGCTACTATCTTGCCTAGATTGCTCTGTACCTATCCTTATATCAGTATGACTTGTATTTTCATTCTTTTTTCAGGTCTTTTAACATGACTTCCAAAACACAATAGTTGAATTATTACTGCTTACCTGCCACCAGCCTCTCCCTGCATCTATAGCCTTACTCTGATTTATTTTTCTTTCTAATGCTTAACACCTCTTCTATTTTACATATTTAGGAGCTTATTTATTTACTGGGTTTTCTTCTACATGCATCCAGTTCTCCATCCCCTGACCTCACTGGAAGCTAATAAAATTAGGGCCTTCATCACTTTGTTCACAGTTCTGTCCTCAGCATCTAGAACTGTGCACAACACATAATGAATATATATTGAATGACTAAATAATATCAATATTGTTTAGTCTAGTTTTAACACTATCCTTATAACATAAGAGCTGGAAAATCATTAATAGATTGAAGTTTATATTTTTGTTTTACAGTCTATTTCACAAAAGTTTCCTTTTGGTAAAATCAAAGGTTGGTGAAAGATTAATAAATGTTTTTGACAAATGGTGATATTAATCTTAACCATTTTCTCTAAAAGATAAAATATAGATGTTATCAACAATGGAGCAATGATATCTCTAAAACCCTCTTTCTTTTCATGAAAGATTTTAAATTAAGAAGCTAAAACTTATTGAGATGCAAGATAACATGAAGTTTTGAGATGATTTTTCTGTAAGTAAATATCTGTAATTTGGCAAATATGGAGGACTTCTCCTTTTGAGTAGACATTAATTTATATTAAGGTGGAGCTATATCTGTGGAATAAATTTGAGAAGATTTGGGGTCAGAGTAGAATTTAAACAACTGTAGACTCAGTTTACAGGTCTATATTCATTTTAACAAAAATTAGTACATTTGTTTTTTCCCTTCTAGGTCATGCTATTGACTAACAGTGACTTGTGGTCAACACCGAGGTCTTAAAAGTATAATTAGATGTTAACCCAGGTCACTATATATATAATTTGAGATCTACATTCAAGTCTTTATGTTTTCAATTTTAGGTGACTGAATAATTAATTTTACCAATAGGGCTTGTATTATCTGATTCCTTCCTAATCCTTTAATTTTATCTTCTGCCATTTCTCTCTCACTCAGTATGTTCCAACCAACGGGCTTGTTTTCATTTCTCAAACACATCAGCTCTTTTCTGTTCTTCATTTGACTAACTTTATCTTATTCTTTTGACCTTTAGATTAAATATCTCTTTTTTTTTTTTGAGAGATACTCTCTAAGTCCTCTTCTTCACAGCTCCTCACCTCAATCCAAAATTAGGTCTTTCTTATTATTCCCTTTAATAGACCTCTTTTACCTTATGAATACTAATGACAATTTATAATTATGTCTTTATTTTTAAGTTGTTTTACATCAATTTTTCCTATCATACTCTAAACTGTATGGAAATAAGTACTTTATCTGTTTTATTTACTATGGAACATTCTTCATCAAATATTTCATTAAATATGTTCAATGAGTGAAGAAAAGAATGACTTCTGCTCATATATTTTTCTCTGTTCTATGAAGGTATTTGAGAGACTAGGTCAATAGCCATTCTGAGAGTAGATTAAAAGCTTTGAAATATCATAGTCTCTATATTATACAGTCTGTTTTCCAAATGTTTTCTTTCAATAAAATCATAGGTGATTCACTGACAGGCTCATCAGGGAGCAAGGCATATCAAAAGTAGGAGTTCTTTTAGAATCACAACAGGGATTCTTTTAGGACTGAGGTGATTGTCAATTAGTCTGTGTTTTAATATTCTTAGTAAAGGGAGAAAAAATGGAATCAAGATTTTGTAATGTAAGAATCAGAAGCAAAGTTATTATTAATTATGGCATTGAAGTATCACAATAATCTTAAGACAGTACATTCTTAAAACATTAAAATGTAACACAATATGAATTTGGGTTCTAAATATATTATGGAAAAATATATACATTATTAGATATGTTTATAGTCTAATATACATAAGAATGCTTTAAAAAAATCATACTCACTTAAAAAGCAGCATGATAGTTGAGGCAGTTCCCAATGCAGTTGTAAAAGAATTCAGGATTTGCAATACTATATAAATATGAAATTTTTTTCTACACTCATCATCTCTTGGGCATGCACCCAAATACGCTGAGTTATTTCTGTTCTGGAAACCAGTTGCTTCCACACAACTACAGTTATAAAACACCTAAAACATAGTTTTTGAAATATTACAGAATGTATTTGCAAAATATGACTAGGCTATAAATATGGTCTATAATATTTAAAGTAGTCTCATTCTGCAAAGCTAAAATATTTACAGTTTTTAAAGAAAAGATTCTAAAAATATAATTGCTCAATAGTTGAGAAGTAAAATAGTTTACTGGTTCCTTTCTAGACAAGAAAATGTAATTCACCATTAACATTTAATTTATCCATGATTTAAAAATTAGGAAAGTATAGAAGAAATTAATATCTGAAACTATGTATTTTTCTCATTAATATAAATTCTTTAATATTTCTTTCCCACTCACTTTTACTTTCTATAACACATCTACTTATTCTGTTTAACAATCTCTACTAAGTGTCAGGGCTAGTTCTTGGGAGGGGATTACCCAGGGAATCTAGAAAATATAGTAGTTTGAGAGGAGCCAAAATCTGGGACTAGAGCTACCCATTGAAGTGGGGCAGAGTCCAGGGGAAAAGAGGCCAGGCAGTGGTTCTGGAATTCTACTTTGACCAGCAAACTCAACATTCAAGAGCAAAATGACAGCACATAAAATAGATGATGTTATTATCAGAGAAGTTCAGCCCAACAGAATATCCTAACAATTAGAGCACAGAAGGGAAAAACTTAGAAACAGATGATTTTAGAGATTAATTTGGCACAGACTTTACATAGATAGGCAGCTTTGATAAATTCTGTTCTGCATCTAGGCTAAACTAAGGTTTAAGGAAAGTTTAAACCTCTTAGTGCTAAAGACTAATTACCGAAAAATTGAGGAAGAATTTGAATCCATACTTATCTGATGACAAAAATTTACCTTTTCACAAGGAAAATATGGAGGAATCCTTTATGTAGCAAGCCTATTGGCTAATAAAACCAAATTTAGGCATGAAGAATATTATTTTGAATGATTAAGCATGTTTTATTATTATAGGTTTGGTTAAAAAATTCCCCAGTACTCCCCAAATGGTATCATTGCCAAAAACTAAGAAAATAATGTCACCATACTAACCAGAGCTCTCTTTAGGATTCTGTTATCATGTCTCTCCCAAGCCTTCACTAATGGACAAAGTGGAACCATGGGTTAAATGGGGGCACTTTCAGTCAAAGGATTAAATGGGGAACTTTTAGGGCGATGTGGGTTTTAAGTATAGCCCTTGGGTCATATTTGTGCAAATTTATGGCCTAGTTTCAAAGAATCTAGGTGCTTTATTCTTCACAGTTTTCGCTGCTCTTCAATACTACAATTAAAAGAACTATGGGCAAGAAAAAGATTAAAATTTTGAAAATCAAAGACAGAAGGGTGTGGAAGAGAGCAATAATCATGTTGATGATTGGAAAAGGGCCCAGGAAATGGTTCCCCTCCTTTGTGAGATAGTCAATGGATTAGAGGCACAATAGAGAACACTATACCTGATCCCCTACTCTTGGAAGTTACCCAGGGAATTGGAGAGAACTCATAGTTTTCATAGAAGGAAACATTTTGAGTGAAGAAGGAAATGGATTTCTATGGGCAATGTTAGCTATAGGTAAGCGGAATACCAAGTTATCCTGTAGAGAAATAGTGCCAGTTTTGGAGAAATCAAAATTAGAATGTAAGAATTGGACAGTCAAGTGAGCTGAAGCCTTGATGATTTTTGGAAAGTCAAAAGGATAATGAGCCTAGGGGTAAACTTATCTATATGAAAAATTACATATACATAGTTTTTCTAGAAAGGCAGGTAGTATTGACAAAGAGTAGGCTCAGGAATATCCCCTAAATTCTGAAGGGTAAAGTACCTCCAACTTAATGGAAATCATACCCTTTAGTCCAATGAAATGCTTTTTAGAGATTGTAAATGCATTTAAATTCCAAAACGTTATACTCATAAACTCAAAGGGAAAAATATGAGAGTGATCTCAAATGAGAATTCAAGCAACAGGAAAACCTGTTTATATCCCAAGTCAGATTTAATTTAATTTAATTTTTGTATAAATTTTATAAAGTCCAAGCAAGATTGTATATGAGGCTCTGTTTGTGCAACAACACAGCCATCGCAATGACAGACAATACTGTAAGTCTTTTTCTTTTATATTTTTACTAGAGATCTTAGTTATAGAAAAATTTGATAAGTATTTGTTAATCGAATCTATGATTTTGATTAAGGAGAGAAGAGAAAAAACTAATACTCACTATAGGTTTTTTATTGCCACTTGAAGATTTACATCCTGCTAGACAAGGTGATATGTAAGTAATTCCATTGTCCCCACAGACTGGTTCCCACTGATTTTCATCACAATTGCAGTCTGAGTTGCAATAAGAAAGTGGCACATTTATATGAGATGCCACTGGATTATTTCTGGAAATATATGATAGATATATATCAAAAAGAGAGAGAGAGAGAGAGAGAGAGAGAGAGAGAGAGAGAGAAGCAGATGGAAAAAGAGGAGGAAGAAGGGAAATGAAAGGAAGGGAAAGAAAGGGAATGGAAGGAGAGGGGAGGAGAGAGAAGGGAAGAGAAAGAAGGGAACAGAAAGAAGAGAAGGGAAGAGAAGAGTAAGGAGAACAGAAAGAAGGGAAAGGGCTGTCTTTTAATTAGATAGAGAAATTTGATGAGTGATGAAGCCAAAATGGCAAAAAAAATGTTAGGGCTTATTAATTTATTCACCCTCCATCTTTACCCAGACATGATTTATGATCTAGATAAAGTAAAACAAGAAAAAGAAACCAAAGAGAATAGGTAAGACTTAGACAAGAGGTCGTTGAGATTCTATTAAGAAATTACTCATTAAATTGCTTATTCATTATTTGTGACTCAGTTTCTTTTCAGCAATGTCTAATGGCATTAAGCAAAGATTCTTTCCAGCTCACTGTAAAGTCCCATAAATTTATGAATGTTATTTAACTAATTTGAATTTAAAAATCTATTTTTCACTATATAAGAAAAGAATTCAACATGCTTAAAGCAGAATCCCTAAGGATCACTTTTTAAAAATCAAGAAAAATAAAATTAGTTGAGAAAAAATTAAAAAATCCATATAATTTTTAAATGAAACTGTAATATACTTTATAATGAATTACTGTAAAACATAGTTATATTATGAAATATAATCTCAAAACATAGCTAAAATTATAAAATAGATCACATGTATAGTTAGCTTTCTGATTCTAAATATTTTAAATTATCTTTTGTTTTTGGTAAAAATCTTGATAATTGAAGATTGATAAATTATCTTTGGATGAGAAGTAATTTACACAAAGAAAAAAGTACATTCAGAAATTCTATTATTAATAATTTTAGTAAAAGGCATCTAATACCTAATTCTGCTTGGGGACATACAACTAGGAGTGATTAAGTTTAATGATTAATGTCTAGACATCGCAATCAGAAACTCCTGTGTTCACATTAGTTCTGCCACATCATAGCAATGTAACTACTCTTTCTAAAATCAATTTTGCCATTTGTAAGTCATAGATAATAACATCAACCTCATAGGAATTTTTTTGTAAAAAAATTAATTTGAAAGTTCTCAATTTTGTATTATCAGTAGCCCTTCACACTGAAAAGTATTGAGAGCTTCAAAGGTTTTTTTGTTCAAATAAGTTATATCTGTTGATGTATATTCTATTAGAAGTAAATACTAGAAAAATTTTAATACATGAGAATACACAAGCACATGTCATTAGCCATCAGACTGTTGTTATCATTGCAAATCTTGTATCCTTAGAAAATATTACTATACATTCATAGAAAATGAGAATGAAAAAGGAAAATAGTGTTTGGGTATTATTATAAAATAGTTTATAATTTGTTGACACTCTGATAAACTCTTAAGAACCCCTATAGACCCTCAGACGACATTCTGAGAACTTCTGCATTAGTTTATACTCTAAAAACTTACCCCACTGATCAGCATTTCATAAATGCTGAATACATTTATTCTGTTGTTTGCTATTATTATACTAAGAATTCCATGAGGGCACTGATGTATCCTATAAATCTTCTTGACCTTTAAGGAGGCACTCGGTAAAATTTTACTGATTGAAAAAAATCCTATAGAGCTCTAGTTGCCTTTTTTTAGATAGATGGAACAGTTATTATACTTATTAAGGAACTGGCTAAAGACTAAAGACCGCTCTGACAACCAGAGAGCCCTTCAACCAATAATGTAACACAGCATCATTCTGGAGGCATTCTATGACTTCAAACAAGTCATGGTTTCTCTGGGTCTCTAATAAAGAAAGAGGATATAAAAGGTTTGGGTTGCAAGGTTTCTAAAGTTCTTTTACCTCCAAAATTCAATGTTCTAGATACTCTGTAGTTTGGTTTACCAGAGTGGGACATGCTGGATACAAGTAATAATAGTCAGCATAAGGAGGAAATTGGGAGATAATTCAAGACTATGTTAGGTTGGAAATGTGGGAAGATTCGACAAGTTAAAATTGACACCTCATAGGATCCAGAGTTTAAAAGATCAGAGCCAACAAAAAAGCAGCACCAAGGAGCATGGTTACTGAGCTGTGATTCCAGGATCTTTGCTTGTTGCTTGAATGTAAATGAACCTTTCTAAGCTCAAGTTGTTGAATGTATTCAGATGATAAGAACTCTGCACAGGAATCTTGCCCTTTATTTGGGATAGAGACTGTAGTACTAGGGATACTTCACAATACTTGATAATAATAAAAATTAAAGGTTTTCTAGAGTCTAAAATGCAATTATAGATAGGCTATTTATCAATTCTACTGTTAATAAAGACAATACAAGAAGAAACAGTATTAGTTTGAAGAAAAGGAAAACTTTGTAGTACAATGTAAGGAAATGTTTTCTTCTAAACATAGTTGTTAAACATCAACATCAACTGGATAAAGATCATTCAGTCACATTTGGAAAATGCTACTTGTATTCCTCTCATGATCCATTTAAGGTTATAACGGTTAAAACTCAGAGTTTTGGAGTCCAAAACCCCAAATTTGAGTCAGAATCTTAACATTGCTAGCCATGTAATCTGAGAGTCTAAGCCTTTCTTTCTCTATCTATGAAATCGGGATAAGAGTATCCATCACTCTTTGTAAGCACTCAATAGATGATAACTATTATTACAACCTAGGTAGCTTTTTATAAAGGGAAGAATAAAAAGAGAGTGTTTTGAAATTTTAAGAAATGGATGTTTTAAGAATTTGTAAGTCGAAATTTTTCTGTTAAAAGAAAGTTTAGTTAAAGTTGCCATCTGTCCTGTTTTCCTTACAGTCATTTACATTAGATTGTTTATACATCATGCAACTGATATATATTAATATATACAAACCCATCATAGGTTAAGGTTAGGCCAGCAACCAATTTGCTTTCACAAATTAGTGTAAAATTAAATTGGTAGAATAAGGTGGACAATATATTGATAAAAAATAAATATTTGGCAATTCCAAGCAAGGTAAGTTTGAATTTTTTAATGATATATCCTCCTACAAACATTCCAGTTGCAATAGTCGGTAAGGTTATGCAACCTAGAAATAAAAGAAAAGAAAAATTTTCATTATATACATATAATTATTCTGAAATGTCTTTCAACATGAAACACACTGTATATCAACCAAATTCATCCAATCTTATTCATTATTAAGTAGAAGACTTTCAGGCCAGGATAGAGTTAGGGGACCAGTGTACCACATAAGAAAGATAAAAATAATTTTTTCCTGCCAATGCTGAGGGCTGAGTTTCCCCAATAGCAAAAGTTAGTGAATGAGAATATTTGTATGTCTGAATAGATGGTTTCTGTGGGGCACTTTTTTTTCTGGAAAACACAGCAAAATATCATCTTCCTGCCTATAAAACTTTCATCCTACCATCTGAAATCCTTCATATTTCCTCAAAATAAAGAATTCCAGTCTTAAAACTTTTTTCTAAATTTTTCCAGAACTTTAGAAATGAATACTTGAATATCTCTTCTTTATGCATCCATACGCACATATACCTGAGATGATAAACAGTACCTATATAGTTAAAAATGATTAATCCCTTTTATAACTTTTCTATTGCATTGTCCTACAAGAGTTATTAAAGGTGAAGACCCTTCTAACAAAAAAATTCAGGCTGGGAACCTTATTGGGAGTCAAACTTAACTATTGCAGTTTAAACTTTTATCTTAAGTTCAGTGAGAGCATTATACAGAATGATTATTTTCTTATTTACTTATGACCTACTCACATAGCACTTGATAAATTCAATTTAGTTTATCGAATATTTATTAATTTTCTACAATGTGCTGGGCACTGTACTGGGTAATGTACTGCTGTTAAGAATTTTATATTATACTGGGTGCAGGGAAAGAATTTATCAATTCTACTGTTAATAAAAACCTTTCCTTCATAAGCAAGTCTCATGTCATTAGAAATAGATATTGGAGCCAAAAAAACCTCTTTATGATATGATTTTTGTTTTGAATTATGTAGACATCTATGATGTGGTTAAATTGATTTTTCTTTGGATAACATCAATGTTTTATTTTCTCTAAGTATCTTGGTCCTGAATCAAAGTTAATGAATTATGGAAATATAATAATTACATTATAAAAGGATTTGTCTCTGGATCTCATCTCAGCACTAAATTATAAGATCTAATTAGCAAATACCATGTCTAAATATTTTATTAATGCACAATTTTTCTTCAGGAATTCATCTCCTCAAAAATAATGTAAGATACAACTCCAAATACAGCATGATTATATCACAAGATTGACAAATTTGGTAAGATTTGTAAAAGAATAAATTAAAATTACATTTACTAAAATATGAAATCACCGTCACAACAAAATGTCATTTGGAACTCAATTACTTGGTTATACATTGTCCATTAAGCAAACGTAAACAATATGTCTTACCAACCACAGTGTTAGCCTCAGATGTTGACTTATCATACTGTTGCTCTATGTATTTTAAGAGATAAGTAATAGCACCAATAAAGCCACTGGATTGTATCAATGTCAAAACCAAAAATAAAACATATAGGGGATTGGTAAGAATGCTTTTTAAGGACCGGAAAAAACCTACAAAAACATAAATGTAAAGGAAATATAATAATGCAGCTTAAATATATAGTAGTATCTTAATCTTATAAGTTATATAAGATTTAAAATTACATAAATGCATAACACATAAAATCAGAATACCCTATAATCCTATCAACAGTTTTTTCATATACTTCTTCATTTTTTTCCATATCACATTAACATTTATTTAGTTTATTTTACCCCAAAATGGGATTATACGTGCATACTGTTTTGCAACTTGTTTCATTCACTTTGTATTTGATTATTTTTACCACTCTACCATACAATTACATACCTCATTAATTAATAATTAATTAATTCAACAAATATTTGGTTTTCAGTTGGGTACCAGGCAATATTCTAGGTGCTCAAGAAACAAAAGTAAATAAGACATGCAATGTCACTTATTTATTAGCACTTAATAATATAATTATTATGTTAATAATATAATTATTAAGTAGAAAATTACCTTACAGATAGTATAATCTAAAGCTCATAGAAATAAGGAAACTAAGGTTCAGAAATCATAAAGATCAATTTGGTACCAGGATATAGATCTCTCGTTTCCTGGTATACAGCTTTTCTACCTTAAAATACTGCCTCAGTAAAGCTGTCAGTATTATAAATTACCTTTCTCAAGGTTTAAGGAGAAGCCAAGAATAATAATATTATGTCTCAGAGGACATCGCGACAACACTAGTACAACAATCTGTGCCTACAAATAAATGTGTAAAAAATTCGTAACTTCTGTTTGTGGCAAGAATTATGTTATCTGGATCTGTGACCAACAGGTCAACCACCCGTATGGGAATTGAAAGGAGCTACTCAGAAAAACAGGAAGAATTATCAGTCTAGAAAGACAGAACCAGATACAGTTATTGAGAGAGGGATGACACGAACTTTGAAAGATCTTGTTCTGTAGAAATCTCTAAGTTTTCAATAGATATGGTCAGAATCAAACCTTCCATCCAATGGCAATTAAGAAGTAGTTTCATCTGCTTATAATAAGAAAAGAGAGGGCAAAGATTGGAGAAGAGAAAAAAAGAAGAGATAGAGAAACTTATAACATGAATAAATGACATTTAAAATTGTTAAGCCAAAATGCTAAACTTTTCTTCATGAAACTCCACTATCAGGAAGGACCACTGACTTGTTAGGCATGCAAAGTGAGTTGTGATATTTGATCAAAAGAAATGGAGCAGATGGGTTCACCAAACCACTGAATTTTTGAGGTGAGTGCAAACCTGGATCTCTTCTGGTCTGAACTTCTACACAATCATGATCTACCATACATTCTCAATAATTGGATCAATAAATACATCAAGTGACATTAAGCTGACTACCTCAGAAAGAAATTTGGTCTAATTTTGGATAATTCTCATTGTTTACAAATTGTTTTTGTAATGAACCGAAATATTTCTTTATTTTTTTTCTAACCAATTAGTCTTATTTCTACTCAAAAACATATAGAACAAATCCAATATTTTTTTTCTAACTAAATGTTCTTAATAATTTCATCTATTCCTAATATCACATGATTAAAGCCCTCTTTACTTTTCTGGCCACTATCCTACAAACACAGTTGATAATACAGATGATGTTTACAATTGTCCTGTTTTTGCATATTCATTATCTGCTACATTGATTTTGGGCTCACAGTCAACCACATTCTTTATGGGTTTAGATAATCCACTACTTTTTATGGATTTGATTGAGTACAGTTAGAACAGCATAGACCAAATGAAAATGCCTTGGTATGCTATTTTTAATGTGCATGTTAAATTTCAGAACTTCTAACTCAGTGTGTGCTGGTAAATGTTTAACAATGGACTCTTGGGGAAACAAGGCCTGATTTGTAGTTTTTCCCAATCTCCATGGTATTAAGAGATGGTAAATTCTTCCACAATAGCCAATTTCAAGCTACTAATGTAGCTAAAAATTTAACAGCTTTGTCTCAAGAGCCAATACAAGCTTCTTCCAACAAATCATTGCTTTCGAATTAGAGTGATGGGGAAGAAAATGTAACAATAAAATTAGTGAGGGGAAGAACATCTGAGAATCTTTAATTCTTCAACTTCAACTTGAAAAGGTCACCAAGGGTTTAATTATCACTCTGCTCGGGCTTTTACAAACTGTGCTAATGCCTCATTGTTTCAACTATTTTGTTCTGACTGCTGCTGGATCGTTCTCCGGAGTATTGCTTCTAAATTGTTCTCCATTAGTCCTCAGAGTTTATATTTGAAAGGGAACGCACTATCAAATGGTAGAAGATTATTATTCACATGACTGACTTTGATAATCTTAATTACTACCATTGCTTCTACTTCATTTTTTAATATTTAGGTAAACAAACTTTGTGCTATATGATTACCAAGGGGAAAAAATCTTACTCCAATTATTTAGAGAGAAACCAACTCTGACTTCTTTCTCCTCATTCTATCTCTCCACCTAAGAATAGCTAAGTTTACCAGTTTATAAGTACTCATTCTTCCTTATATTTAACTTTATCATAGTACTTTCACACTGCATTGCAACCGTCTATATACTTTTCAGGACAACCCCCCAGATTGTGAATTCTTGGAAAACAGAAGCCATATTCTATCACCAGGGCATAGTATGGTACCTGGTACTATTTGTATAAATGAAAGAATGAATGAAATATTATAGTTTTTTTAACCCTCATAGTTTACAGTATAAAATTTAGAAATGAATATATACTCTGGTTTACAAGTAACAGACAATTTTTGCCTTAGGTTGGTTTCTCCCTGCTAAAGACCATAAACCTAATTCTATTCTCTTTAGAGAGTTGGTATGTGTTCAAAAAACACTGATTAATTTAAGGAATCTCAGAAAAATAATTCAGCTAAATTTAGTCAGAAGAAAGCTAACTCTTGGTGTTTGGAATATGACTTATTATTTGGGAATACTCATGCTTCCCTTTCACTGGGATTAAGAATTCCGAATTGACTGTAACTATGAAATACTTACCAGTCATATTTTCATTAACATTTTGCCCATGGTTGGTCGAATTACCCATTTGACTCCTTTCATCATTTGTTTTGAGCACATGTGAACTTATTGAAACTTTCCTTTCTTTCTGTGGTTTATCCAGATTTTTAGACAAGAAAAAAAATGGTATGGAAGAAATAATGGATAATAGTCCGGCCAAAAGAAAACCAAGCCACCAAGCACCAACCCAACGAGAGTCCTTAGGAGTTATTCTGATACTGCCTAGAATAAAAAATTAGAGGCCAGTCAAAAATTATTTTGAAATGCAATAAATGCTGGGCTAGAATGGTAATGATTATTCTCCTTCAGAAATAAAGCAAGTAAACTGCATTTCATCAATTCTAACACATTATTTTCTTTTTTCATACTTTGTCATTTCCGAAATGAGGATAAACCTACAATTGAATGACATCATACAATTGTTATTGTTTAGGAATCAGTCATGACATTGTTGTCATTGCCTGGGCCTGCATAAACTTGGTGGCTTTTCTGGTGATATAACTGAGCAATTGTCAGTCATCGTTGAACATTTATGCCTGCAAACCATTTAAGGACTGATTATGGAAACTACATGAATCCTTATTGTCTGAAAAATTCTACTGACCCCATCTCCTGAGGTCAAGAAAGCATTAATTAGTTTGCAATTATTTTGAATCAACTAATCTTTAGCAAGTTATTATTTATTCTATTTTATTTTAGACTTAGTTATAAGAGCCTAGTATAAATATAAGTTGAATTTTATTTTTATTCTGGTTATTAATACATTTATTTCTGATTCGTAACTTTTCACAGATAGTAAAGGACTATTAGTGAAAGAATAAACTTAATTATTTAGAAAAATGACATTCTGTACTTGAAAAGCATTATCATGTCACCTTGTTCTGATTGTACTTACTCAAATCTACATATCCAATGTCCACATATATTTTAGAAAGCTGAGATCCGAGTGTAAAGCCAAGGATTGGACCAATCATTGCTATTGAAAACAAACTACCTGAAAATATTATAAAACAATTTTATCAGATGCCAAGAATACATGGTTATTCTTCAATATTCACATTCACATTCACATAATATTTTAATATTATTTTAATAATATTATTCACATAATATTTCTAATAATAATTTTAATAATATTATTCACATAATATTTCTAATTATGAATGATTCACATTCACATCCACATAATATTTTAAAGTAATATTATGTGACATAGCCTTCCAATAATTTTTAAAAATACATATAAGAATAAATTTAGAAACACTATTATCAAAGGTAGATCCATGGAAAGTAATCATAAAATTTAATATTTTCTGTACATTACCTAAATAAAAGGAAGACTCTCCTTCTTCAGCGAAATCATCAATGTAAGAAATTCCCAAGGGTTGTATGGGGGTTTCCCCCATTCCACGAAGCATATTACCCATTAGGACATATATCCACATATATGACTCAGATTCCCTACCTATGTAGACAAGAGAGCGTTTTATTTTAAACATTAATTTTAGCATTCCTGTTAGAATGCTAAACTATTCCTGTTAGAATGCTAAACTTGACTACATTAACCCCTTAATTATTTTATTTAAGAAATTTTTGCTTTTTTTTCTAATTATGAATGATTCACATTCACTTTTCAAAATTTGGAAATACAGAAAAGCACAAAGAAAACAAGTAAAAATGATCTGTTGAAACCTATATAACTTTATTAACCAATGTCACCTCAATAAATTTAATTTTAAAAATGATCTGAAATCCAACCACACACAGAGAACCACTTCTCATGTTTGTATATATCTATCATATTTTCGGTGCACATAATATGTTCATTATATATTTAAATATCTAGTTCTTATTGTAATCTACTTTTATAATGCTTAACACCATATTATGACAATTTCCTCATGTTATTAAGATTTCTTTTACATCATGATTTTAATGACAGCAGAGTAGTATGATGAATAAAAGCTTCACAATTTTTTTTTTAATCAATCTCTTACTTTTTACTCACAAAATATTTCTAATTTTTTATTCTGAATGCCAGGGCTATAATCATAAATAAATCCTTGTGCGTCCTGATTATTCTCGTAAGATAAATCAGTAAAAGTAGAATTACTGATCTAAACAAAATATTATGTATATTTTTGTTCTTTACTACATTGAAAATTAACGTTCAGAAAGAGTTAGAAATTTATAATGTAATACATATAATGTCTTTTTCCTCTACCTCATTTATTCTTATTTTTAATCTTTTCCTATCTGATATGCAGAAAAATCTTTAATTAGTGTTATAATTTATAATTATACATTAGATTTGTGTTATAATAGGTAAAATTTTTTTAATTGGTGTAATAATTTTCATTTTTCATAGTTACATTTCTACATATTTCTGCCATTTCCCTCTTATTTTAAATGCATAATCTTAACTAATTTCCTACCAAAATACTCTTCTTTTTATTACTTCTAAAAGCTCTTTATATATAATATAAATACTATTGTAAGCTGAAAATTTTTTCTATTTATTTTAATTTTGCTAATGAATATCGAAATAACTTTTACAGTTGTAATTATAATAATATATTTTAAAATATTTATCAGTGACATTAATATTCACTAATGTTAATTCAATATTTACCTTTTTCCGGTATCTCAGGTGATGTATTATTGACTAACAAATTTTGATTAATTAAACAGGTTGATAAGCTTGATGTTGAATTCTTTGATGGATTATTATAGATTTCTTTAGAATACCTGTAACTGTAAGAACATCACTAGATTTAAAATTTTGCTTGTGTAATGAATATTTTTACTTTTCCCAGAAATACAGAGGAATTTTCCACTTTATTTGCACCATTCTCTTTTCCAAATTATCAGACTTCTTTGTCAATTTCCCAACCTGTATTTTAGGAGAGGCGATGGATGAAAATGAAATGAGAGTGTTCACTCAGAAATATCATCAATACTCCCCAGACAAGGTGGGTTATCTATTATGTAACTATCATCCTAGGAGTGCTTATATCATATTCAAGATATGAAATACCTTGGTTTTATGCTTTTAAAAAATGCTAACTGTATCTATCCATCTTTTTGAATTATCTCCAAAGCCAATCACAATCTAAACTATCTGATAAACTTTACGATAACATTTAATAAAATTTAGAGCAGTGTTTTCCAAATCAATCTATAATGTACACCAATTCATCTATATTTTCTATTAATAATCTGTCTAATTTTCTTTCATGGACACACACACACATATACACACACAGTCATAAGCCTGACTCTTTAAAATTTAGCTTAAGAAGTTCTAATCCATTTCAATTTAGTGAAGAAGATCTTAATAGGAACAACAGAGATGGCACTAGAATAAAGACTAATGCTGACATCCAAAAACACTGAGGTACCTCATGAGCTCCAAGGGCAGCATACTGTATGCCAGGCATTATACTCAGCTTCAAAGATTTTGTAGTTAGGGAATTTTGCACTCTCTAAGATAAACATGTATAATAAAAGTTGTAAGTTTAATATACCGGCTCCTGAGTTGTTGCAAAGAAAAAAAGATGATCAGCTTTACTTGAGGTGGGGATGGGGGTGGATTAGAGAAGACTTCCCTGTGAAGATGACATATGAGATGAATCTTAAAGATGGATAGAAGTTTAATAGGTAGACAGAGAAGAAAATATATTCACGATTGTAAGAAACACCATGTGCAAAGGTATGACATATTAGGATGCATCTGAAAAATTGCAGGCCTAGAGTGTGAAGGGCAGTATAAGATAAAGTTAGGAAGATAGCCAAAGACCAAATCAATGACAAACTATATATGCAAATGGGTTAAGATATAAATCCATAAGCAAGAGACATTCAATATTTTTGACTGTAACCAACAATAAGAAATACATTTTCTTATATTAGTGTTTCAAATTTAGTGAAAGCCAGGGTAGATTAATCAATAAGTTAATTATTACATAAAAAATAAACCATTTCTACATGTACTTAGTAGGTATTCTCAAAATGTAACTGCTTATTTAATAAGAAAATAAATAAATTCTACCATTAATTTGCAAGTAGATGATAATTAATGGCATAGAACTGTTTAACACTTACTATCCCATGAAGAAATGTGGTAAAGCAGTTAAAATACATCCAATTCCCATAATAATGCAACCAATTCCAATTATCTTTGGTCTGTGTAGTTTGGATCCAAAGTAACTCACAAATACAATCAAAATCAAATTTCCTAGAAAGAGAACAAAATCATTTTTAAATGATTCATTATAGCAAACATTGACTGAGTCTAATTTTATGTCCAGTTAATGGAAGGCCCCAGAATGAATACAAACAGAGCATAGGACATGGTATCTTCCCTCAAAAACCATGTAATTTACTTGAAAAGATGAAACTCACATTAAACCATTCACTAGAAAGTTTTATGGTATTAATAATAAGTAGAATAGGTTTCAGATACAAAAGAAAGCACTTGAATTACTTGGGAATATTAGTGAAGCAAAATTTTATTGAGGAATTTGGAGTTAACTAGATTGTTTTGGAATGGAGAAAAAAATGGAGGAAATCTTCCTGACCAGAGGGAAAGGTATTAATTTATGCATGTATTCATTCATGTCTAGCATTCATTAAATTCCAGTTAAGCAACTTCCATGGTACTAGGAGCCAGAAATATAGAAAAGAATGAACCATGATATTGGTCCTCAAGGAACTTGCATACCAGTGAAAAAAATAGAAAAATAGAGGTGCTGTTAGACCACAGAAAGAGGGAACTTAAGTTAATTAAGGGTTTCAGAAAAGTTTCCTGGAAGAAGGGCCACTTGAATTTTAATGTTGAGTATAAATTATTTAGATTAAAAAGAGAAAGAAGAGATAAATTAGTGGTTGATAGATGGTTACAGGGATGGGGAGCACGGCATAGGGAGTACAGTCAGCAGTAATGTAATGGCTATACATATAGCCAGAGGGAAAATAGAGTAATTGGGGATCATTTCATAAATCACATAAATGTTTAACCAATGTACTGTATATTTGAAAATAATTTTTTAAAATTCCAGAAAAAAATTACTGCTCTAATTAAAAAGCATTACAAAATAATCAGGGGAAATAATTGGAAAGTATTTAAATATAATTTAAAAACAAAAATAAATAAATTTTTATGAAATTAAAAGAAAGGCAGGCAGGAGAAGAGCATTCCAAGTGGAGGGAGTCAAACCATTCTGTTCCATCAGGGGCCACAAGTATAATACAAACAGAAAACAATCAATAATTATTGAACATTTGATGGGAAAAAAAAAATAGCTTGAAATAAAAACCCCAAAATGTACCAGTAGATTAAGTAACCCATGAAGAAACAGTTAAATAAGGAAACTAAAAAAAGGGGAAACTTAAAAAATATCCAGTTAGTATCTCTAGAGGTATAAGGGTATCCATAAAATAATACTGGCAGACTAAAAATAATAACAATAAAGCATTGTTAGCAATTAAAAATATCATAGAAATAATGTATATATTGGGACCTGATATGATAAGATGTAAGATGGCATCAAAGAATATTTATAGAACATAAGGACAAAAAGGTAGAATTTTAGAAAGAAAAACTAACTGGAATAAAATAGCCAGAAAATTTAATGTTCACTTTATATATGTTCCAGAAAAAATAAAAAAGAAAATAGAGAGAAAGAAACAAATTAAAAATAAATAAATAAATTCCCTGAACTAGAAGAAGTCTCAATCCTTCGGATGAAAATATCTGCATTTCTCCAGCATAAATAATGTAAAAGAGACAGTTCTAGATATATGCTGATAAAATTTCTAAAATTTAAGGATAAAGCATAAATTCTTATCAGCGCATGACAATGATACTTGTAATGATTTTTCATATACAACATTAGGTGTTATAAAACAGTGGATAAATGTTTTAAATGTTCTGATAAAAAAGAGTTTGTACTTTTAATTACATACTCAAATTATTACTTAAATATAATAGTAAAATAAATAGAGTTTCCAACAAGCAAGTGCTCAGAAAATATGTCTGGAAAAAATAACCACTGGAAGATACACTTCAGAAAATTTAAATATGAAACTTAAAGTCATAAAATTCAAGAAACAGTGGTAAGCAAAGAAACCGGTAAAACCTATAACCACGTCCAAATAATTGCTGTTAAATAGCTACAAGGTTTAACAAATATTAAGGATCAATTCCTCAATAAAGGACATATATAGTAAATTAGATTTAAAGCTAATAACAGTCTAATACAAAAATTCTAGATGGTTTCATTAAACTAAGGAGGTGAAAAATTAAAGGATATTTAGGGTGCAATATCCTCTGAATCATGAAAAGGCAGGATTCATAACAAAAGAGTAGATGGGGCTTGCTTTATACAATTATTTTTTGAATACTCAATATCTAAATATATTTTAAATAAAGCTAAAAGAAAAAGAACTTGTAGAAATTATTTATAATTTATTCAAAAGACATAAGTTGTTAGTCTTTTTCAGTTACCAAATAGTGAAAAAAACACAAAGAAAAATGAGCACAGGTAATGAGCTACCAAGTTAGAAAATAAGAGAATATAATGTTCAATAATTATATAAAACCTCACTATTATTGGAGATATTCAAATTAAAATGAAGACAACAAAGCAGCATATTCGGTGTTCTAAAAAAAAAGACTTTTAACCCCAAATTTTATACCCAGTTAAACAGTAGAAACTTAACATAGGTTGCTGCTCTCTCTTCAAATCACTAGAATCATAATCCTCTTTACAACCTTTTTTTTACACTAAGAAATCTTGAAAGAGGGAAGGTAAAGTCCTGCAAAGTATTTGTTTGCAAGTAATGAGATTGTGTAGATCAGGGGTTTTCAACCTCTGCACTGTTGACATTCTGGAATGTATAATTCTTTGTTGTGGGGGCTGTCCTGTGCATTGTAGAATGTTTAGCAGCATCCCTGACCTCCACTGTTAAGTGCCATTAGCAGCCCTTTTCCTCTCAGTTATGACAACCAAAAATGTCTCCAGATATTGTTAACTTGCCCCTGGTAGCAAATTTACCTCTGGCTGAGAACAGGTAGTGTAGAGCACATACGAACAGTTATAACCTCTGCAAATTGGGTTACTAAGTAAAAATCAAAATAGAAATAGAAATTACCAATTTCAAAGCTTCCATCGATCAAGCCAGCAACAGAAGATGATATGTCAAATCTCCTTTCTATCTGAGTGATGGAACTTTTCATAATGGCTGCATTTAGTGCCTTAGAAATAAAGCTGAAAGACAGGGCTGCAAAGAACATCTAAGAAAAAGCAGAAAGAAAAGGAAAAATGCTTATAGAACTACAATGTTTATTTGTGCATAGAATTAAAATTGCTTTTCTTCTTTACTTATAACATTATTTTTATAATAAAAAACATACCTACCTTTCCTCTATGCCAATTGGTATTGCTTAATCACAACATATCAAACCATATCTATATGGGATGTAGTAAAAGCAGTACTAAGAGGGAAGTTTATGGTGATAAGTGATTGTATTAAAAAATAAAGATCTCTAATTAATAACCTAAACTTACACTTCATGGACCTAGAAAAAAAAGACTAAACTAAACCCAAAGTTATCAGAAAAAAGGAACTAATAAAGATTAGAGTAGAGATATATGAAAAAGGGAATAGGAAAAAAATCAACGAAGTTGAGTTAGATTTTTGAAGAGATCAACGAAATTGAAAAAACCCTTAACTAAATTAACTAAGTAAAAGAGAAGATTCAAATAGCTAAAATTAAAAATGAAAGAGGAAACATTACAAACGATGTCAGAGAAATAAAATGAATTAAAGGACGACTATGAACAATTATATGCCAACAAATTGGGTAAACCAGAAGAAATAGATAAGTTACTAGAAACATAAAACCTATCAAGACTGAATCACAAATAAATAAAATTTCTAAATAGATTTAGATCTAGTGAGGAGATTGAAGCTGTAATCAAAAACTTTCCAACAAAGAAAGCCCAGGACCAGATGGCTTTATTGGAGAATTCTATCAAAAATTTAAAGAAAAAATAATTTAAATATTTTTAAAACTTTTCCAAAGATTTGAAGAGGAGGAACACTTTCAAATTCATTGTATGAGTCCACATTATACTGATATCAAAGTCAGACAAAGACATCATAAGAAAACTACAGATCAATATCCCTGATGAATATTGATGCAAAAATCCTTAACAAAATACTACCAAACAGAATCCAACAATACATTAAGAGGATTATACACTTTGACCAAGTGGAATTTATACCTGGAATGCACATGTGGTTTAACATATGAAAATTGATCTTTGTGATACATTACATTAACGAAATGAAGGACAAAACCAAATGATCATGTCAATAGATGCATAAAAGCATTTGACAAAAAATTCAACATCCTTTCATGATAAAAACACTCAACAAACTAAGAATAGAAGAAACTACCTCAACATAATAAAGGCCATATATAAAAAGCCCATAGCTATCATATTCAATGGTGAAAAACTGAAAGCTTTTCCAGTACCATGTTGAACAGAAGAGGCAAGTATGTCGACCCTTGCCTCTTCTGTTCAACATGGTACTGGAAGTTCTAACCAGAGTAGGTAGGCAAGAAAAATAAATAAAAGGTATGCAGACTGTAAAGGAAGAAGTAAAATTGCCTTTGCTTTCAGAGAACATGATCTTATATGTAGAAAACTCTAAAGACTTTATAAAACAAGAACTAATAAATTAATTCAGTAAAGACAGACACAGAATGCAAAAGCAACACTCAAAAGTTGCATTTCTATACAAATCAGTTGCGTGTCCATGCACTAACAACAAATTATCTGAAAAAAAAAAATTAGAAAATCAATCTTTTAAATGGTAAAAATAAAAAAGTCTGATAATGCCAAGTGCTGGAGAAAACATTTATCCCTATTTTCTCTTATAAATTTTTGTAATCATATAAATTAGTGTGACCACTTAAATAGCAATTAAGCATTATCTTATAACATTGACATTTATATACTCTATGATCTAGAAATTTCAGTCACAGATATTGTCAAGAAAAACTCTGGGTATACCAGGAGATATGCAAGAGAATATTCATACCATCATTATTTATAATAGAAAATCCCTGATAACAATCTAAATGCCCATAGACAGTAAGAGAAATAAATTATGGTATATTCATATAATGAAATTCTATATAGCATTAAAAATGTACAAACCACTGCTATATGAGTAAAAAACAATTTTATAAACATACATATGTTTATATAACATATAAATATAAATATACAAATATATGTATACCAATTTATATAAACATATATAAATATATGTATATATTTATCGAGCTTTTGGAGATCAAGATCTGAACATCTTTGAGGGCCATTATTTTGGTTACCTATGAGTGTATTAGGTAACATGGCAAAGTGGAATGACTTTAAAAGGTTTATCCTGAATTATCCTGGTTAATCCACTGTAATTGCAGGGGTCTTTTAAATATATAAGGGAGGCGGAAGAATCAGTGTTAATGCGATGCAACATGAGAAATATTTGACCACTAGCTTTGAATAAATAAGAGAGCTATGAGTCAAGAACATCGGGCAGTGTCTGGAAGTTGGAAAAGACAAGAAAAAAGACTGTCCTCTAGAGTCTCCAAAAAGGAACACAGCCCTGACAAGTCCTTGATTTTAGTCCAGTAAGACCCATTTCACAGTTCTCAACTTCAGAGCTGTAAAATTATTACAAAACTGTGATAAATTTGTATTGTTTTATGCAATGAAGGGCAAACACACACATACGTATGTGTGTGTATGTGTATCAGGTGATGGTGAATGCTATAAAAAATCAACTTGGTAACTGAGCTATGGATAGGAAATGCTATTTTTATATGGGGTGGTCAGGGATGAGGTAATGTTTAAACAGATTTGAATGAAACGAAAGAGCAAGATATCTGTTACACTGCAGTAACAGTTAGTGTAAACTTTTCCAAGTCAGAATTATGCTTGGCATTTTTGAGAAATAGCAAAAAGGCTAATGTGCCTGGAGGAAAGTGAGCTGGAGGAAAACTATGGAATATTGATACTGTTGATGGTTACATAGGGGATGGTTATTCTGATGATTTCTGGAGGGGTAGTGGAAATGAAAACAGAAAGGGGGAACTTTCACTTTTGCTCTTCTATTTGATGCAAATGTATCAAAAACTTTTGTCTTGTTAAAGAATTTTCATTACAACATAGAGGTATAAGCAACCAGATATTCAGAAAGAATAAGTGTAAAGATGAAGGATATACTGGCAGGGTCTATATAATCTAGTTGATTCAGT